GGTGTCGACAGGCGTTGGGGCTCTGGGGTCAGCGCTGACTCCAGAGGGAGGGTGAGGCCGGGGTGCTGGGCGGGGAGCGGGAGGAAAGCGCTCCCAGCCGTGCACACGCCCCCCACCCCGCCGCGCCGCGTCCCTGGAGTCGTCGGAGGGCAGACTCACCTCCGTGATGATGTAGAAGCCGTCCCCGGGCTCCCCCTGAACCACAATTTTCTCTCCATCTTCGAACTGGACAGGCTCCAGCGCATCGGCCACGGTCAGGCGCTCCCACTTCTCCAGGGACTCTGCGGCGGGAGACAAGGACAGGGTCACCCTGGGCCGGTCCTCCTGCCACCGTCGAGGGCACAGGCAGCTGCTGTGCAGAAGACGGTGAACAGGACAGACGGCATCGGGCCACAGAAGGAGGCTGGCTCCAGGCTCAGGGCAGAGCCCGGGCACCCCCACCAGCCGGGGCACCCAGCCACCTCTCTCCGCCCGTAAACAACAGGCAGCAAGTTCACTCTGCATGGAAATATCGTTCACGTCAAGAGACCGGCCAGTATTTCTGCAAACGATGGAGTCCTCCAGACCTAAGCTACCAAGTGGCTAGAACAGCCCTGAGCATGGATGCACCCGTTCACCCAAGAGCAGCTCCACCGGGCTGAGGAACGCCCCCAGAGTGCAGGGCTGCGCCAGCCTGGTGGCGGGACGGGGCACGCCTGCCACGTGTGGGGTCCAGACACCCAGTTGCACGCCGAGCTCATCTTGAGACGTGCGCAAACGCCACGCGCCTTTCTGCCCTCCTCACGCCCTCCCTCCCTGGCATCACCCATCCCCAACCCTCAGAGGAAAATCAGTAGGAACGATGTGAGGCTATTGTAAGAGATACTGACTGCCTGATTGACTATTTCTGTCTTGGGGGGAAACAATCTTTTCCGGCATCTATGTATCAGATGCTACCTATGTAGGTCAGAAGCTAAAAATGAAAGGCAAAGCATTTATTTTAGATCTAGGTTAGGAGGGAGATCTCTTTCCTCACAAGCCCCGGCCAACGTCACGCTTCCCGCGAACCGAGGCCTGGCACCTTCCACAGCGCAGGCGGGGTCGGGGGCAGAGCCCGCCCCAAGCAGAGCCATGCCCCGCTTTTGACAAGCGGGCTCTGTGCTAGACAGAAGCCACTCAGTGACTCGGATCTCAGGGTCCCAAACAGATCGGCGGGTCTCCACTGCCTTCAGCTAACGCTGGTCCCTCCTGAGCGACCCTGGCCGGTGCGCACAGTCCAAGTGTTAGTTTACTGCTTTCCTCGCAAGGGGCTGGGGAAGAGACGTTTCATCAGAGAAGTCAGCTGCAGTTAGGAAGTTCATTTCCACGTATTTGAGTAGCAAATTTTTCTGTTACATCTGAAACCCGTAGTTTACTGAAGTCTGAAAATCAAGACCAGGACGGCTTAATCTCCTACCAACATAAACATCGTGGTGAAACCATCAGAAGAAACCACAGGGGAGATGGCAATTCTGGCCCCATTTTTTTTTCTTGATTTATTGTAGAGACGTGGTCTCACCATGTTGCCCAGGCTGGTCTTGAACCCGTGGGCTCAGGCAAGCCTCTCACCTCCGCCTCCCAAAGTGCTGGGATTACAAGTGTGAACCACTGCACCTGGCTCCATTTTTTGTTTTTAGAGACAAATTCTCACTCTGTCACCCAGGTGGAAGTGCAGTGGCACAATCGTAGCTCACTGCAGCCTCAACCTCCTGGGTAGCTGGGACTAAAGGTGCACCCCACCATGCCTGGCTAATTTTTAAATATTTTTTATAGAGATGGGATCTCACTGTGTTTCCCAGGCTGGTCTCGAACTCCTGGCCTCAACTAGTCTCCCACTTTGGGCTCCCAAAGTGCTGAGCTTACAAGCACGAGCCACCATGCCTGGCCTAGGCCCAGTTTTTCAAATGTCTCAAGTCTGTGAGGCGATTCACAAAACAAAATATTTGGGGGCTTTTTTATGACTGCAAGTCAGGGTCCCCGTGTCTCAGGATCCAGGATGCTGCAGTCAACCCGTGTGGGGAAGCGGAGGCCCAGCCGTGCGGACTTCCCCTCTGGACGGTGGGCCCCTTTTTGGAAAGGCATTGCCGACGTTCGCCACGCCCCGTGTGCAGGACGGCCACTGGCGAGTGTCCCAACAGCACCCCACAGGGTCAGCCTGCAGCCTGAGGGTGGGACAGCACCAGGGTGCATGGCCGCAGAGTCTCCCAGCCTGGGCGGAGCCCTGCACATCCGCAAGGAAGAAGTGTGACCTCCAAGGCACCCATGCCCTGCCCCCCACCCATGCCTCTGGTGAAGATGCACCCACGCCCGTCGCTGCAGACTCATCCAGGGCTGTCCCGCCTGCCACGGTCCAGAGGCCTTTGTGTGGCTGATAGGGACTGGGCGGGAAGAGGGATTTGAGACTCCTCGTTCCTCTGGGGCCATAGAAAAGCCAGCCACACTCCCGGCTGTCACATTAATCAAAGAAACACAGAATGGGTGGTGAGGCCAGCCTGGAGCCTGTCCCAGGTCACAGGGCGGTTCCGTGTGGTCCTGGGGTCACCAAGGCTCCACCCAGTTCAGAAAGGGGATGAGTCTGGGGTGGCTCTAGGGGGAGGAGGGCCCAGGTCTACCTGCCCCTGGCCCAAAGACAAGTGGGGAGGGCCTGCAGAGGCCCCTGGGTATTGAATTTGCACAGGGATCAAATGCCTCTCTCTCAGCCCCTGCAAAATCTTGAGGACCAATGCGTGGAGTTGCCAACGTTTTGTTTTGCCAAGTACAACATTTTTTTTTTTTTAGTTGAAGTCTCACTCTGCTGCCCAGACTGGAGTGCAGCGGCCACTCCCGGCCACCGCAGCCTTGACCCGCTGGGCTCCGGCGATCCTTCCGCCTCAGC